CTTTTTCTTCTGTCGTACAAAGCTTGAAGTTACAATTTTCATTCACTCGAGTCAGCCAACGCATTTCTGGCCATTTGTAAGCAAGTGACAGTTGGCCTGATGCATAAAAGGGATTAATTCACCTCTTGGCACCCAGTGTCCTGGCAGGAAGTAGGTTGGAAGCTTTCATTCTGCCTTGACTCTGGGTCTCAGGAGCACAACTGGTTTTGTCATGTGCTGTGGGTTTCTCCACACACACACAAGGCCCTGGAGTAATTTGCCAAGAGACACTTTCCGACGGGGATTTCATTGGCTTCTCTATTGAATGCCCTTTCTTTCTTCTTTAAAGACACACACACACACACACACACGGTATACGAATTCGTGCATGTGGGTGCTTGACTGAGAACTGGCCGGTTTCCCTCAAACCTTCCCACTGCCCGCCCACCAAACCTTGCTCTCGGCTACTAGCATGGTTGGGAATGAGAAAATGAGACAAAGATGCCCAGGGACCTGGTCCTTGCCTGGGAGTCCTCTTCGTGACCCATTATTGGCAGCCCCGAGAGCGTCCCAAGTGAATTCCATACAGAGGATGAGAGCAGGCAAGGCCCCCTTTATCACTGGCTGAGTTTAGTTCAGACCCCAGCAGACCCGTACCAGAGGGCCTAGTGCCAACGGAACTCCTTCATCGGGACAAGGAAGACGGACTCGAGCTACTTTCTTTTTTTGCCCTAGACCAGTGGTTCCAAAACTAGCTTTTCCTTAGAGCAACTTGAATGCCTTTTAAACTCTAAGTTCCCAGGCCCTACTCCCAGAATTAATAAATTACATTTCTGGAATGGGGCCTAGGAATGTATAAAGTAGCCTCAAGTGATTGTTCACACAGCTAATTGTTTAGAAACTTGTGTCCCCAAACTTCCTCTAGACCCAAGCTGGCTTTCAAAAGGGATGGGGCAGGGCAGGGAGAACCTTCTTTCTGAGGAAGGGGAGCTGCTGAGCCCCACGGTAGGTGGCATGGGTCTGCAGAAACAGAGGAGCCCGCAGAGGAACAGTAGAGCTGGCTTGGTCTCCTGACAAGAGGGGGCTGCCTGGTCCTTCCTGTGCTCCAGCCACAAAAAAGAGGCAGGAGGGGAATCAGTGGGGAGGCATGTCTGGGCCTCGTCTCCAGCAGGAACAGCCTCTGGCCCTGGTTCTCCTTCAAAGACCATGTCTCAAGGGCTCTGACGGTTAACTTTATACAGTGAGAGTGCCTCTCTCTACTGAGCAGTTGGTTTAGAAATTCCATTAGTGGTAAGATGGAGGATTAAGGAGAACCAAGTGTTTGTCCTGTGTTTTCTGACACGTGGTAAGGGCACTGCGGGGCAATGCTAGTTCATGTCAGGTGATGTCCTAACTTGTATGGGGCAGAGGCAGCCTGGATGGGGAGGCCAAGGCGATGCAGGGAAGAGGGGTGGAAAGAAACAGCGGGGGTTGGGTTGGGGAGACATGGCCTATAGGCTTTCCTTTTCCTGGACATTACTGTTTCTTTCTCATCCCAGTTAGGATACTAGGAACAATCTTTCAACCTTTTTGTCCATTAGAACAACTAACAATTATATAAATCACTTCTTGCTACTAAATGACCTGATTATGAACTCAGCTGTGCCCCTCACTAAATGTGATTTAGGAAAACAACCATACCTGGGATGTACGGCTTCATCATGTTCCAACAGGATGGTGGTTGTGTGCAGGGGTGAGGCAATTAGCCATTACTTTGCAGAAACAAATTATACATTCAGAAAAAACACATTCTGGACATTGCTTGTGCTGGCTTCTCTATACACAGAAATTTGAACAACAGTCACTTACATCATGACCCTCAGTGTCCATCAGGAAAGGTACAATTAAATATTTAGATACAAGTTTCCTTTTCTCTGCACAAAGGTAATTTAGGATTAAAGATAAAAATCATCTTAGTGAGAAGATTGCATCTTTATCTTCTTCGTGATGCAAAACTGAACATTCCTGTGAAGCTCTGAACAGCCCCCCTGTTCTCGCTGGAAATTGTTTTCTAGGTGGGAATTCTGTAAACCAATTAGAGTGACTATTTTCAATGAAAATGAACAATTTAAATGTTTGTATTATTTATAGAGCTCACTTTTATGGCTACCTCAGATGAAATACGGGATCTCTCTGAATCCCAGAGTCTTCACCTGCAAAGGGAAAAAAAAATAGTATCTTTTTGGGGCACCTGGGTGGCTTAGTCGGTTAAACGTCTGCCTTTGGGTCAGGTCGTGATCCCAGGGTCCTGGGATTGAGCCTGGAATCAGACTCCCTGCTCCCTAACTAGAGTCTTGGGAGGATTAAAAGGGGTAACATACATGAAGAGCTTGGCCCATCTCTGGCACCCGTTAAAACACCAAACACTAAATCTGTGGTTGCTTTCATTAACATTTTATCATCAAAAAGCACAAGGATACCTCCTCTTCTGCTATTTTATGTGCTATTCTATTTTTCATTCTTAATCAGTTTTTTGTTTGCCAAATAGCAATAATTCATATAAAATTCTCCTAAATATGTTTTAAAGATCTGCTTGCATAAATGATCCACATGTGTACACATACATTCATGTATATATTTACGGCATATTCATATATGTGTATATAATCACATGTGGAGGGAAAATATTATATATTCACATCAACTGGACTGACTTTTGCCCAGACTATTTTTATTCTCCACTGGTCTGATGATTCCATTCAGAAAAACCTGAAATAGTGGCTTTTTAATTTTTTTTTCCTTCCTTCCCCTCCCTCTTGCTTTTTGCAAAAGGATTTCACCAGACTGCCGTTCAAATGGAAAAAATGAAGGAGAAAGCCAACTATGCTTATGGTTTATCTAACTTGGACGATTCCCATAAATGTTGACAAAGCATTAGAGCAGGAAAAAATAATTCTGTATCTCTGTTAGATGCTAAACATATCCTCCATTTCACCCCAACTTTTGGTGGTTTCTAATTTTCTCAGACACAAGCAAGAAAAATCAATTAATGAGTATTTCCTCCTCCCAACTTCTCCTTGAGAAATTACTGAGAGCCCTCATCAACATTTATCAGTTACATGATCTTGGAAGTAACGGACTTCTAACTTATTCAAGAACTTAACAAATTTCAAAGATAAAGAAACAGAACACTTTATTATAAAACTTATAAAATAATTAAATATTACACATATATTTTGACTTTTCTCTATAACCCATTGTTTTATTCAACATTTTCCTCAGAATTAATATCACTTACTCAGAGAAGCAAGTGAGAACACATAAGAATAGGCTATTAATAAATTAATTTTTCCATAAAATAATAAAATGATCATTATATAAAGAAATAACTTGCAATTTTTCGGAGGGCAAGGGGGTAGGTGATGTGGAACTGTGTGTTTCTGATGATAGAATGGCCACTACTCTAGGCCAAGCCAAGTGGATTGAAAGACTATTCTAATCATATTTCTCTGAGATTCAAGAACGCATGATTTTAATTAGAATGGGAACAAAGGATGCTCTAAATTTAACAAACCACTGTCTGATTGGGTGTGCTGAGCTGGCAAATCCCTGTTTGAATTGTGACTTTATAAAGCAGTAAAATTGGGTTACATTCATCAAAGAAATTGAGGAGTAGAGTAGAATTATATAAATATGCCCATTTTAACCGCATCTCAAAAAATTACAGAAGGACTCAGTCTTGTAAGTTACTTTGGTTTGGGCAAAACAGTGTGGTATTTTCCAATTGAGAACAATTTTAAGCTCATTAGTGCCTATCAACAGCTGGCTTCTGATGACTGAAAATATCATCTGAAAGATGATAAAATATTCTCATTCATCGAAGGATCTTAGCTTATTATGATTTATTAATATTAACTTAGCAAGAAGACAGATGGGTTTCTCTGTTGCCAGTCTTTTTTTCTTAACTAAATCTTAGGGAAAATTTAAACATGACCATTGGTAAGAAAGAACCACAAGTGGTCTTTAATTTTCCAAGCAGCTCTGATAATATGTAGGGAGTCTTATAAATGTTGGTCTGCTCTCCTTCAAAACACTGCTGTTCTGCTATTTAGCTCCTCCTAGAGTTTTACCAGAAATGAACGTCTCGCCAGTTCTGATTCCCAAAGAGCAGACTAGGGGCTCCCGTGGACTTGTTCAGCTAGCACTGGAAGTTACGAGGTTGACGTACTGTGTAGGATGTCAACATATGCCTTTTATGTGAGTTTGTGGGCTTTTGTTTTTTCAGAGTCTTGAAGTTCACTTAACTGGGGATCTTAAATAATTCATGTTGCCCTGTTTCCAGAATATTCCTTGGCATACTTTTCAAGTGTGACTTTTAGTCTTGGAGACTCTCTAAGCAGAATATAGTCTAAACAAAATAATAAAAACAACACACGCACACTGGATAAAAGTAACACGAGGCTTGCTAGTCCAGCAGCAAGCACAGTTATGAGCACCTTTTTGCTTCCCGTGGAACTCCTCCTTGGGGCTGGCCACAGTGTCCGTCACACTGTGAGCTCCGGGCAACAGCGAAGCAAGGGGTTCCATTTGTATTTGATTGCTCCAAGGCTCCATCTCGGACCCGAAGTCTGAAAGCACCTTTTCAACCCAGATGTCTTTGCCGTGGAACCCTCTGAAGTTCAAAGAGGGACCCTCCCCATGGTGACCAGATTCTCACTTCGTCAAAATTAAAACGTGACGTCTCAGTGGGATCCATCACTTCTTTCGTTGTCACAGTGCAAATCGAAGTTATTTTGTCTTTTCTTGTGGAAGTCCAGTTTGCCCTTGCTTCCCATTTTCAAGTGCTTTGGAGTACCATGTGCTTTGGGGAAGTGGATAGGGAGCCTGTCCTCGAGAGCCCATTCCACTGATGGCTGCAGCCGCGCATGGGTGGTCTGCAGTGTTTGGCTTTCAGTGGGGGATTAATGGTGGCTGGTCTCTCCAGAGGTGAGAGGGAAGTCCTCGCCCTCGAGTGTTGTGGGGGGTGGGGTGGGTCGTTGAGATCAGCTCTTCCTCGTGCATGACTTGCAGCACTGTTGACCATAAAATTTGTGGTTGCAGACGCCATGTTGAGGAACTAGGGGACACCAGCTGAAGAAATCGACACACGATGGATCCTCTGCAGGGAGAGAAAAAAAATTGTTCACTCCTCAGGAGGAAGCTTAGCCTTTTCCTTAAGGTGAGAGCCTGTGGGTCAAAGACCTTGGACGTACCTGCCTCCTGCCTCTGAGTGGTTCTGCTCCTATACTAGGACTTGGCTGGGAGGGAGGGGGAGCAGGATTAAGACATCAAAAGGGACTAGGGCCCTTGGTGAAATGTCAGCTGGTGGGAGTGGAGTGGATGTTAAAAGAAAGCATTACATCCAGTCCAAGATTCCTGTTGGATCCTCCCCAGGGGCCTGGGAGCCACCATGTTGTGTCCTTAGCCCAGCCTGGGAGGAATGCCCTGGGGGTCTTGTTAAACCACTGCTTCTGATTCCTAGAGTCTGGGGTGGGCTGGGAGCAGCTGCCACCTGGTCCACGGACCTTATTTTGGGAACAGGAGGCCTACGATACAGGAGTCAGCACACCGAGACTGATGGCTCAGCTGCAGTGCTCTACGTTGATTTCAATAAATCTCCCAGCCCATCTGCAATGGAGTGAATTTAAGTCAACAGCAGGCCTGACTTCTCTTGTTGACAGATGGGATTACGGGCTGGAAGCAGAACTCGGTACACCAGGGATTCTCACGCAGAAGGACCTCATTAGGTACAGAAGGCATGTGAAGCTGTATGTAAGATGTTCTTCAAGTAAACCTCAGTGCCCATTTTAGGAGTCAAGGTCTTAGCCATTTTACCAGATTCTCAAGGAATTTTGACTTCAGAAGTGTTTATGGTCTACCCTATACGTAAGTTTTCTCAGTCATGGTTGGAAGTGTTTTCCCCTTCCTCTCTGCAAGGCTCAAAAGTCACTTTACCTTCACTTTGCCCAACACCCCCCACTGCCCATAGGCACTCACCCAGCTCCCTTTTAAAATTATCCTGAAGTACCTCTTCTCTGTGCCCTATGTCCCTGGACATGGCAGGCCAGGTTCTCAGCTCTCCTTCCTTTTCCTGCTGTTCCTGACTTGAATTCTGCCTCTCTGTGATTCAGAACTACCTACAGTTCCTTCCCCTGCCTTCGTTCTTCTGCCTAAAATACAGCCTCCGCACCCATCTCATAGTAGCACCACTGATCCTTTGAACGGACAAGTCAGTTCATGTCATGCATGTCTCAGCCCCAGACTCTCCCTTTGGCCCCTCCATCCACCCACAGTGAAAGGTTTAGTCCTTACCATGGCTGACAAGGTCTTAGGATCTGGTTCCCCCACTACTGCTTGACCTCGTCTTCCTCTTCTCGTCCCCTCCCCCACATGGGCCACCTGGGGGATGCCCTAATGTGCCAGGCACATGGTGGCTTTCCCCAGCCATCTACTTCCCCAGACCCCTTCTATTCCTTTATGTCTCTGCTCAGAGGTCACTGGCAGACAACAGGGCCTTCCGGGACTCCCCCAGATAAGCAGAGTGCTCTGCGGCCTCCCAGAAAACACTCCCTACTCCCCACCCTTGCTTTATTTTCCTACCTTGGGGCTATCAGTGCTCATCCCATTCTGTGCTGCCTGTCTGTTCCTCTCTAGAACGTAAGATCCTTGAGAGCAGAGGTTTCATCTACTGTTTTCATTACTTCATTCCCAACGTGTAGTGCCTGTCACAAAGTAGCTGCTCAGGGAATATTTGTTGAAAAAATATACCAGTTTCCCTGTAATCATCATGGCTAGAACAACCAATGTGAAATCTACATGTTACAGCTTGGGTAGAAAGGTGAACTAAGAGCATCTTTCTTTTCTTTTCAGTAACTCCTGGATATGGAGCCTAAAGAATTTTCTGACGGGTTGGTAAAGACAGGAGAGAGCAAAGAAGAATCAAGAACGATGATGAGCTTTTTGCCCTGGGCATCTAGGAGGTATACGGAGGTGGACCATCACGGGGCAGCGGTGCGATCCCTTACCTCAGAGATACAAGTCAGACGTGAGAGGAACACTCGTCTATCCTCTGGCCCATGTATCTCTGTACTCATCTCCGGTTGTGTCTAATACAAACTTGGACAGTGTCTTCTATCCCAGCCACCGAGCATGCAGCCTCCTCAATCAGAATGTACACCTGAATCACTTTCTACTTAAATTGTAGAGATTATCCTACTGATGTAGTAGAAATACCGCATCAGGATGAAAACAGACCGCTAAAAGCATGACCCTAACTGCAGTACTGTAGCAACGCTTACTCCTTTCGAGGTAAGAATGGGATCTCGGCTGGCTGCTGCGGCTTTGAGCTCATTTTAAGTCTGGAAGCAGAAGGGAGGTTTATCGCTGAGCCATCGAGATGAGCACTGGGTTTGATTACTGCTACTCTAATGATTACCGATAGCTGGTTATTTGAGCTTCTGTTGTCACATGTTTCATGTGTGCTGTTGAGGATGACCCTGGTGTCCTATTCTTTGCCTCACATCCCGCATGCAGACCACTGACAAGTATTATACATGAGCTCAGTCTTTAGAATACACCAGCACCCAGCCTCTCCCAGTACGGCCACTGCCCTCATGGAACCTCCTCCTCCCGCTCTGGACCCCTGTGCTCTTCTCTGGGTAACTGCCGGGGACCTTCCCACAAGTCCGATCGCATGGCTCCTCTGCTCCAAGTTCTCCATCAGCTTCCATCTCACTCAGAGGTAAATCTTAAGTCCTTACAAAGACTGACAAGGCCCCTAGGACCAGCTTCTGCTCATCACCTAACCCCTGTCCACTTTAGACATCTGACTCCAGGTGTCTTACTGTTCCTTGATCGGATTCACACATTCCCACCTCAGGGCCTTTGGATGTGCTGGTCCCCCTGCCAGGAACACTGTCCTTCTGGATACATGCATAGTTCACCTTCCTATAGATCCATATCTGTATCATATCATCCTTGCCTGACTAGTCTCTCTAAACCAGTTCTCCCCCACCCCTTACCCCCTAATCCTTCTCATTCTCTATACCCTGCTTTGGTTTTATTTTCTACTTTATTATCTGACATTGTATATTTATTGGTTGGCCTGTTGTTCGTTTCCAGATAGGAGGTGGAAACTCTGGCCATTTTGTCCACTGCTCTATCTACAGTCAGACATCAGAACAGTTCCCGGTTCAGAGTGAGTCCTAAATAGACATGGAAACCCTGAATCATCTTACTTAACTCCCAGTGATCTTTTCAGGTAAGCATTATTTCTTCATTTTATGAAGAGTTCAAAAGCTTGCCTGTGGCCACAAACTAGTCAATGGCTGTGTGTGGACGCAAATCCTTCTTGTGACGTCAGAGTCCTTGCTCCTCCCGCTGTGCAGTGCCACCCTTCTTGGCCCCTCTCCATGTGAGGAGGGGAGATTCCAAGAGGAATAAACTTACGCCAAATCCCATTAGGCTGTAGCCCAGGCCTCGTCCCAACTGTCAACAACCACTCACAATACCGCAATGACTGATGTCGCTGCCCGAGGCTTCCTTCTTTTCTGAATAAGGTTTACATGTAAAATAGACACAATGCCAGCTCATAGGATGGTTTCCCGAAGTACAGATCCAGTGAAGACCCGGGCAGAGCCTCCCACAGTGCAGACAGCACCGAGTGAGTGCCCTAGACTGGCTACCAGCACGGGGGTGGGGCAGGGGGTCCGAGCGATGGCACACACACTTGGCTGTCCTGCAAGACTGTTTACTCTCAACTCTTGGAGGGGAAGGTGGTGCCTCAAAAGCACGGTGCATCATGGGAGTCTCAGAGAAGATTCCAAGAATGAAACCTTCTTCCCTCTGGCACCATGGGTTTGCTTACTGTCCACTAATGTTTGTTGAGAACTAAGTGTTAGAAAACACACTCCAGTTCCCCCTGTGGTCAGTCTGCCAATGATCTAAGGGGGAAGACTAACCCAACAGCAGTTTGGGCACAGCCCTCTCCCCGGATTTGGGATGGAATGCGAGAAGCGGGAGGAGGCCTTCAACTGCATAAAAACCACAGGCCACATTTTGGCCAAGAAGAAATACTCAGGCTTATGCCTTTCATATCTGCCTTCTTACCATACTCCTCTTTACAAAAGAGACCTCAGTTACTCAAGAGGCACGGAGAGAGGTCCTTCTCAGAACCCCTTCTCGTCCTGCCATCTTCCACTGCCCCCATCCCTGCAACCCACGGAGAACTGACCTCCACCGTGACACTGGTAACACTCCACCACGCGCATCTGTTGCCCTGTCTTCCTCCTCCGCTGAGACACTGACTCCTTGTACCTTAAGAACAGGACGTTACCTTGTTCTTTTATCCCTAGAAGAATGCTAGGGATATGCAGCAGGTGCTTAGTGACCCGGCTTGGAAGGAAGAAGAGAACCTCATGGTACTGGACCGCAAATCTCCCACCTAACACGTGCTGAGCATTGACAGTGTGCCTGGCGGGGTGCCGGATGAACAGAATAGTAACACCAAGGGCCTCCCCTCAATCCTGGATCTAATCTGTCTGGCTCTCCCCACCTTGTACTCTTGCCAGGAGATACTGCTGAGCCATGGTCATGATCAGCCATTCCCTACAGCCTGTCTCCGAGTACCTAGGGGTCATGCATTTCTGACTCCGGGCATGTGTCCGGGGCCAGCTGACTGAAGAGGGGGGAGGAGAGGTCACCAAGGGGGAAGAAAGGGGGAGACAGTTTGCAAGTACATGACCACTTGCTCCAAATGTGAGGCTGGAGGTTTGGAGAATTCCAAAATTGCCTTGGAAGGGATGGGACTCGGAGAAGCTGGCATGTTACTAGTTCTTTTGTCTCCTGCAAGCCTCAGACAAGGAAGGAGAGAGGGCAGAGGAGGGAAAATAGAAGCCCAGAGTCTGGAGCCAAGGCTCGAAGATGAAGCTAAACAAGGACAACAACTTAGAAACGCAAAGTGGTAGGGATGGGGAGACCCAAGGAGTCAGAGTCCTGAATCTGATTCCCCACAGATGGCAGAGCGTGGGGTAAGAAATTAAACAGCCCTGGAAAAGCCGCGATGGGATGAAAATGTAGCAGGTACCTGGCGGGAACCTAATTCTTTAGCACAAGGAAATCTGAGGGGAGGAGGAGACCTTTCCTGGTGTGTTTGTCAGGTGCCTTTGAAAAGGAAGTTGAGCCAGTGAAACCCAGTCTAGTAGTTTGCGCATGTAATCCAGTGTCCCATTGTGCGTCCAGCACACGCCGCACTGCGTGGGAACGGACTGTAACCAAGAAAGCACGCAAGGTGTGGTCTGAGGATGCCGCATGTTCCCTGACGGACTGTAATTTACCTGCCTCCTCCGCTAACACGTGAGTTCAAGGACGATCCCCCTTCACGCTTGGGTTTCCACTGACAACCCTAATCTTGGGCTCATGGTAGTTACTTTTTCATTTTCTTATGTAACTAAAACCGTGTTAAAAAAAAACTGACTGGCATGATTGCTATTTCCCCCTTTGAGAGTAAGAAGTAAGGGCTCACAAGCCTTATCGTAGAATTAAATGTTCCCTGCATGGGTGTGCAAACAAGATCATCGTGAGCAGGAACGTCCCAGATTTGTGCCCTGTACCCCCTGTGGGGGGCGCCGTTCACACAGACAGGGTGTGAATAGCACCTCCTAGTGGCGCTGCAGGGCATAAGCTGCATCACCCGACCGGAGGGGTTTTGGGAAAGTTCTCAGAGGACAAATCCGATGGACTGGGGAGGGGGGCCAGTTACCTCTCTTGTCAGGAGCCGGACAGAAGTTGGTATTACAGGCTTGCAGCACCGGAGGCTTCTGGTGGAGCGGACAGCTGGAGGCAGGCCGGCCCTGCTGCATGCAGTGGACCGAACGCGTCTGCACACCCCCTCCACAGGTCACCGTGCACTGCAGAAGGGGGCAAGAGGAAGGAGTCAGCAGCCCTCGGAGGGAGGGTGCTTGTGGCGGTCAGAGATGTCCAACAGAAGGCATCTCCACGCTCCGTGCCACGACCCGGGCGCCCTGTTGATGAAGCAAGAGTGGCCAGAGCCCGGCACGTGTGCTCACGTCCATGGTCGAGCGCGCGGCAGACGTGATCTGATTAGAAGGGGGTCCTCGGCAAACGTCCTCTCTCTGGCCCCAGAGCGTGTCTCCAGTTAAGTGACTGTAAAGAAGAGGGCTTCCAGAAATACAGAAGCTGCCACAAGGATGCAGAACAAATCATCCCAGTATTTAAAGAATTCCAGATAATCTCCGCAGATGCAGTGGGGCGGGGGAGGGGGGCATGGGAGACGGTTCAGAATTAGGACAGCGAAGAAATAATACTTTATCCGAGGCAGCTTTGGAATTCTGTCCTCGGTGCCTGGCCAAATTCTGAGTTGGTACGGTGGGTGTGGTGCTTCCTAGAAATCAGTGATTTTGCTGTTCCATTAAAACAACAACAAAAATAGATGACTAACAAGGACTATCACCTTTTTTTCCCCTCAGACATATATTTTGTACCAAAAGAATAAATGAAATATCAGGGGAAAAAAACCCCTATACATGGATTATCTTTTGTTTTGCTTTTAAAAATGCGCTACATTGGGTGCCTGGGTGGCTCAGTGGGTTGGGCCGCTGCCTTCGGCTCAGGTCATGATCCCAGGTCCTGGGTTCGAGCCCCGCATCGGGCTTTCTGCTCAGCAGGGAGCCTGCTTCCTCCTCTCTCTCTCTGCCTGCTTGTGATTTCTCTCTGTCAAATAAATAAATAAAATCTTTTAAAAAAAATGCACTACATTGTTCTTAGTGCAGATAGGTGAAGTGTTTATCTAGGGACAAGCATCGTTATAGGGACTGGTATCTGGGAGGGGAAAACAGGCAGGGATGGAAAACATACGAGGTTTGGTTTTGGAGTCTAGCTGATTAGGGATACACAATCACACTGGTTTCCTTTGCTTTTCTTCATGGTTTAGTTCTCAGATCTTCCCCCAATACACACACACACACATACACATTTTAGACATTTATACATGTGTATGTATGTGTACTTACAAATACGTATGCACGCAAAAATGAACTACTGGGGCTTCATCAAGATCAAAAGGTTTTGCAAAAGCAAAGGAAACAGTCAACAAAACCAAAAGACAACGGACAGAATGGGAGAAGATATTCGCAAATGGCATATCAGACAAAGGGCTAGTATCCAAAATCTATAGAGAACTTATCAAACTCAACACCCAAAGAACAAATAATCCAATCAAGAAATGGGCAGAAGACATGCACTTTCTACAAAGAAGACATCCAGATGGCCAACAGACACATAAAAAAGTGCTCAACATCACTCGGTATCAGGGAAATACAAATCAAAACCACAGTGAGATACCACCTCACCACAGTCAGAATGGCTAAAATTAACCAGTCAGGAAATGAAAGGTGTTAAGCTCCTGTAGCCACTCTGAAAAACAGCATGGAAGTTCCTAAAAAAGTTGAAAATAGAGCTACCCTATCACCCAGCAATTGCACTAATGGGTATTTACCCCAAAGATACAAATGTAGTGATCCAAAGAGGTACATGCACCCCAATGTTCACTGCAGCAATATCCACAACAGCCAAACTATGGAAAGAACCTAGATGTCCATCAACAGATGAATGGATAAAGAAGATGTGGTATATATATATATATATATATATATATACACAATGGAATACTATGCAGCCTTCAAAAGAAATGAAATCTTGCCATTTGCAATGGCGTGGATGGAACTAGAAGGTATTATGCTGAGCGAAATAAGTCAATCAGAGAAAGACAATTATCTTATGAATCTCTGATATGAGGAATTTGAGAGGCAGGGTGGGTGGTGGTGGCGGTAGGGAGGGAAAAAAACAAAATGGGACCAGGGAAGGAGACAAACCATAAGAGACTCTTAATCTCAGGAAACAAACTGAGGGTTGCTGGGGTGAGGGGAGGGATAGGGTGGCTGGGTGAGGGACATTGGGGAGGGAATGTGCTATGGTGAGTGCTGTGAAGTGTGTCAGACCGAGGGCTCACAGACCTGTACCCCGGGGGCAAGTAATACATTATATGTTAATTAAAAAAACATATGCATGCCTATAAACACACACATTCTACACCGTGTGTATGTACGTTTACTTACAGAGACACGGATCTACAGACCTACCTTTGTGCTCGCACATGCCCCAACCCAGCCCCTGTGTCTGTCATGGGGTGGGCAGCACCCCTTCAGAGCTGGCAGGTTCTGTAAAGAGCTCCGTGACCTCTGCTGCTCGGGAAGGGTGAGGACACAACACAGCTTCTCTCCCAGACTCTGCTTCACACGCCAACCTCGCCGATCAGAACCAAGCAACTTTAGCCAAAATTTCACGGGAGTCTTCTGAGAAAAGGGTGCCTCTAACCTCTCATGTGTTTAGGAGCCGGGGGGTTTCCTGCCTGAATTGCCCCAAGCCGAGCTTTCCCTGCCTCCTCTACAGAACAGGCACGAAGTACCCACAAACAAGGCGGCTTCCATAAATGCCGGCTACTACGTCATTCAGCAACTGGACGTAAAAACCAAAGGTGTCAAGACGAAGAGTCGTGTTTCTAGAATACAGGAGGCTCCCGGGGATCTTGAGGGCAGCAGCAAGAGTGAACCGCTGGGGCCATGGGACCAGTCTGGTCTAGGTGCTTTATGTTATCGTAGGTGCGCGTGAAGAGATGAGCTCTTCGGCAGCGTCTTGGTTTTCCAGCTGTGACAGCTGGAGCTCCCAGGTGATGGAAGCAGCCCGGGCCACACAGGTGGCGCAGCTCCCCGAGATCGTGAGGTCTCCCGAACCTGAGCTTCTCTTGTTGACCTTTGGATGGGTCCTTGGCGGGGGGGGGGGGCTGCCCCCGTTCTGGGAATGTCACGGAAGTCCGCCCGCACTCACCTGCTGCCACGGGGATGGGAACCACCCAGCAGCCACGCCGAAGCCGCGGCGGGCGGGACAGGTCCCTCGCTGGCAGGTTTCTTCCAAGTTGAGGTTTGGTTTCTTAATACTGCGGCACCTTCGCTCCGGGAAGGTGATCAGCTTTCCCTGGAAGGGCTTCTCGCTGCATTTCATCTCCCTCCTCCTCACGCCCAAGCCGCAGGTCATCGAGCACTAGGAGCCGAGAAGGGAGGCGTTAGGTGTGCAGAGCCCCACGGTCAAGCGTGCTGAGCAGATGCACCATCCGCGGGACGTTCTAGGAATGGGATCACGGCAGGTCAACCACGTGTGACCCTAAAGGCCCAGCGACCGCGTCCCTCCTGCTACTGCGAAGAAACCAAAGGCTGGAGAATTTGAGTAACTGTCCCCACGTCTCAGAGCTTATCAGCACCAGAAATAAGATGGGGCACTGTCCGGCAGCAAAGCTCTGCTGTTAAGTGGCTAGCTCAAGGTCATACCCGGAGTGAATACTGCAGGGAAATGGGGTAAGTCTGACGGACCCACACATTTAGCCATCAGGCTCTAACGTCTCACAGAAAAGGGGCAGGAAGGGAGGTAGACGTGCTGCTGTGTATGTTACTTATCATTTAGGCAGAATCAAAGGACACGGATGGCCAGACCCAGGGGCTGCTGGGCCAGAAGTCCTGCTTCTGCCGCACCGCACCGACTCCACCGTTGACCCCCATCCTGGCCTGTTTTCCACCCCGAACTGCGATCTCCTCCTGGGCAGAGACCTCGTCCCACCAGTTACTGATGCAGACTTCAGGCTGGGCTCCTCGTCTCACATTTCCTCTGGCTGGGCGTGCGCCCGAGCTTCCCAAGCACAGGTCCAGGAGACGTCTTCACAGCGTTCTCTCCCTCCACCCACATGTGCCCAAAGGTGGCAGTGGCCTCCTTAGGAACTCAAGATTCTGCTTTTCTCCACTCCAGAAACACTCCTCTCTCGTCCCCATCACAGCAACCTCCTTGTGAGCACGTACTTGCCTGTCCTAAGGGCTGTCTGCTTTATGTTGGATTGTTCTGGGTCCTAAGTGGCCCTGACACCGGGGTCCGATGAGGTTTTTCAGCTCCTACCGCCCCCTCACCCCACTGTGCTGGTTGTGTCATCCTCTCTCCCTTCACCCTGGTATGGGGCACACCTTCCATCTGGAACAGCCTTCCCTGACCCCATCCTTGCCCAGTTCTTGTTCATCCTTCCGACTCGCACTCCCTGGAAAGTCTCTCCTGTCAGAGACACTTCCTGGTGGCAGGGCTGGGGGACTCCAAGCTCCCCTGTGGCATCACGGACCCCCACACGCTGCAGCACTCTGCACACCCTCCCCGAGGTGCCCTACACATGCAGGGGGGAGTTGTACACTTTCACGCCCAGGCACGGGCCTGCTCAGTGCGATGGGTGCTTCATGCGGGGTTTGGGGAAAGGTGAGGCGGGAAGAATGGATCATTAGTCGGCACCTGTGTGTGTGGATCAGGAAGGAGGCCTGAGCATCTGGGCGCCAGCGGGTGAACGGAGCATTCGAACCCACAACCCAGCAGTACCAACTCTCAACTCCTACCTCACTCCAGGAAGAGACGACCCACTGCAGCCGGGTGTTTCTGGGGCATCGTCCCAGCACACAGCCCTCCTGGGACTCTGGCTTCGGGCTGCTGGAGCACAGGGTCTCTGGGACATTCTCTGCGGTGGCGGAGCTTCTGCAAAGGACTTCACGCTTCCTCACCCCTCGCCCGCAGCTCTTGGAACACTGGAGATGGGGGGAAAAAAGTCATTTGCCTGCTTGTTCCAAATGATTCTCCTCCAGGTGAACGCTGAGAACGTATAAATGAGGTATTCAACAAATTCTTCTTAAGCTTTAAAACCAAATGCCTGGTAAAATCCCTTGCAGACAGTAGGAGAAATGTTTCTTCCCTCTGAGGCCTTAAATGAAGGTTAGCATTTCCCTTCAGCATCGGAATGCCCAGGAGCTGCCGGTTGCCCCCGGGCCGGAGACGAGGTTCTCTCTAGGGCGCGCACGGTTCCTGGGAGAATGCTACGTGCCTGCTCTCTGGGTCCAGCAGTGGCTCACGCTCTGGCACAAGGCAGAGCTGGTCTGGGCACTTGCTAAGAAGGCTTATTGTGCATCTGATGGAAGCGTAATAGAAACAGATGTACATGTGTAAGAGCGAGAGACCGTGACATTGATAAAAATGGGTGGAGGGGGTCCAGTTCTTCTTACGATCTGCTGCCTGGGGGATGGGCAAAGCACTCGGTCAATGTCGGAATGAACCCGTGTGTTGGGCCAGTCACCCCCGCGCTCTTACTTTGTTGCCCTTCCCCAGGACTCTGTCAAACAGACAGGGTTGGGGGAGAACCTCCCGACTTTCAGATGAGCGGTTGAAAACTGGTCAGAGTCACTTGGAAGCTGTTGGCTCCAGGTCTGGGTCTGCCCTCAAGGGACACGCCCCCCTCCCCAGCCTTGGTTTCTGAGCAGAAGGGTCATATGAGATGTGACCCTCTTGCCTTGGCTCTTGGTCAACACGCAAACATCTGGGCACAACTGCAAGCCTCCTCCGAGAGCAACAGGACTTCTGGCTGTTCACACCCTGAAGGGAGAGGGATGACAGGGACAATACTACCAAAATCTGCGAACCACAGCAGCAGATTTAATGGCTTTCCATGTGATGAAGCATGCGTGTTGACTTGTGTCCACAACCTTCTACCAACCCTCTGAGATCCCTGCTGTCGTCCCATTCTCCAGAAGGGCCACCTGAGAACTTAGAGAACTTGACCCAGATCAATCAGGCAGCTGTCATGAAGCGGAGACGGGCAGACAGATTTGGGCATATCAGACGGGGAGGTATACCACTGACGCATATCATCGTTCATTCAAGATTCTAGGTGGTTGACCCCATTCAATAGAATTCTTATTTTATGTTTTTCTGGGTCTTTCCCCCTATTTTTAAAATTATTTATTTATTTATATATTTATTTATTTATTTTTTTAAAGATGTTATTTATTTGACAGAGATCACAAGTAGATGGAGAGGCAGGCAGAGAGAGAGAGAGGGAAGCAGGCTTCCTGCCGAGCAGAGAGCCCGATGTGGGACTCGATCCCAGGACCCCGAGATCACGACCTGAGCCGAAGGCAGCGGCTCAACCCACTGCGCCACCCAGGCGCCCCTATATATTTATTTTTTAAGAATGATCAAATATTTTAAAATTGCTTCCCAGAGGGTTTGAGAGACATGTCTCTAAAAACAAGTTGAGGTAACAAATTTTGAGGGACTCCTTTCAGATTTGTCATGAAGATGTTCCCAAAGGGACACATTTGGTCTTAGTAAACAATAATGAAATATACAAAAAACTAAGGACACAAAATACTCTCTCAAGATACTTCCATGTCTGATCTGGGGCAAACTCCATTTCATGAGGTCACATTTGGAACTGCTGCGTCCCCTAATTCTTTCCCCCTTGCCTACCACACACATTTGGCTAAAACAACCTCGTGAATTTTCTTTCCTCTTGTAAAGTAGACTTCCCTACCTGCAGAGAAAGAGACCAAACATAACCCTATATCCTATTCAGTTCGACCTTCTGATATAAATGAATATGTTCCTTCATTTTATTTTTTTTTTAAGATTTTATCCATTTGAAAGGGAGTGAGAGAGAGAGCGAGCGAGCACAAGTGGAGGAGGGGCAGAGGGAGAAGCAGGCTCCCAGCTGAGCAGGGAGCCCAACATGGGGCTTGATCCCAGGACAATGGGATCACGACTGAGCTGAAGGCAGATGCTTAACCATCTGAGCCACCCAGGCACCCTGTTTCTTCATTTTAAAGCATTACCAATGCATGTCAAAAATACTCTCTCCCACTGCTAGCTCCTTATTCCTCTAACAGAGTTGTAACCTTCAAAAAAATCCCATGTCCTATAATTAAAACAAAAGCCTTAATCTGAATTCTGTTGGGGATGTGACAGTACACAGCTATCCTTAATCAGAAATCAATGCTCTGAGGGGCACCTCGGTGACTCAGTCATTAAGCATCTGCCTTCAGCTCAGGTCATGATTCCAGGGTCTGGGATCGAGCCCTGCATTGGACTCCCTGCTCAGTGGGGAGCCTGCTTCTCCCTCTGCCTGACTCTCTGCCTACCTGTGCTCTCTCTCTCTGAAAATAAATTAAAAAAAAAAAAAACACTTAAAAAAATATAAAAAAGAAATCAATGCTCCAGGATAATGTTCCCTAAAGGAAAGCACGTAGGAATGTGGTCATCCCAGCTCAGGCAACGGAATCCCCGCATCCTTGTGAGGGTTCCATCCAACCGGCTTGACCTCCGCGGTTTAGCAGAGGCTGGGCTCCTCACCGTCAGCACATCTTGGACCAGATACATCTCTGTTTCGGGGAGCCGTCCCTGACACTGGAGCATGTTTCTCTCCCCCAAACAGATGCCCGCAGCACTGTTCCCCCGCATTAGGACAGGGACAAATGCCATCTGAGAGGACCCCTGAGCATCCCAGCCCCCAGTGACCCACTGACCCCCTCGGAGCTGTGAAGGGTGGGTAGGTCTGTGCCTCTTCTGACTTCATCACTTTCTACCTTTCACCGAGCGTTTGTGAAGGCAGCAAACTTTGTGCCCCAGTCCCCTCTGGATCCTTCAGACGCCACAGCTCTCTCCCCCCGAAGCGAGAGTGACTATCATTCTGCACCACCTTCCTTATACTTCTGTTTGCTCTGGAGCATTCAGCAGCCGTTCCGCTGTCCTACCCACCCCCATTCACATCCCTTCTAGCTGTGCTCGTGAGTCTAGCCCCAGTGGCCCCCATGCACTCCTTCCTAGGCTTCTAAGGACGACTGAGCTGTGGGGCCGGGCTTCCCGACCCGCAGGACACATAAACATCACAGACACAGATACAAGCTGAACTGCCTCATCACGTGGACTCCGTGTAACTCCCAGGAAAGCACAAAGGGCGGAGGGCCTGGTGGGAGCCAGGACACCACCCCCATTTTTGCCACCATCTTTGTCCCAGAAGGAACAAGACTCATGACTCCCAAGTCTTACCTGAGACCAGGGCCCAAGGCTCCATTCGGGGGGGCAGGCATGGCTGTTGCAGGGCTGCACCTGCGTCGGGGTGCTCACTGGGCAGAGCGAATGCAACACGGCTTCCTCCTTCTGGAAGGGCTTCTTCTGGACACACTGGACCTTCCTGCTCTGCTGGCCCCCCGCACACGACCTGCTGCACACGCTCCACTCGCCCGGCTTCCAGCTTGGAGTGAAAAACAAGATTAATTCCATTGAGGCTGCGGCCTGGCAACCTCCCTTCCACCGCAGTGACTGCATAAGCTTTAACCACCTGATGAGAGCCTCCGATCGATTTTAGAACCGATAAGGGCGATGCCTAGTAATTACTCTTGTCCGGGTTTTGAAGCCCAGGCGAATGTGGTCCAGTGAGGGGGAGTCACATTTAATCACCACCCGATTCTGGGCAGAAACACGTTCCTGCTCTCTGCAAGGGAGGAAACATGTGCCATTTGGAAGCCCGAGTGAGTCATTCATTCGGCCAGATCTACTGGGATCTTCACTTTGTGCCAGGGACTCTCCTCGGCATCGGGGTTGGAAAAACGAACAAGGCAATGTTCTTTCCATTAAGGGGCCTACAACACAGTGACGAGATGGCTGTGTGAACACAAAGGGACAACCCTATGGGATGGTTGCTATAAGGGACGTTAATACAAAGTGCAGTAATGAGACTGAGGGAAGAATGATCAATGGGGGGGGTAAGGGGAGGGAAAGAGGGGAGGGAACGGGAGGGTGGGGGGGCAGGGTACACACGCATCACACAGGCCTGCAGGAGGGAAGGGCTCACTCAGCAGTTGGTCCTACAGAAACTCTAAGGAGGAAGTTCCCCCAACTACTCTGCTTATACTTCAACTTTATGGATGAGTTAGACACACAACCTCATGTTCTTTATTAAAAGATCGCCAGACCCCAGTTTTCACGGTGCTCTGAGACTTGGTGTGCATGTGAGGGTGAGGCAGTGAGACCCACTAATCCTTTCCAGCAACTGCATTTGACCAGTAGATACTCTAGGATTGGAAGGCCTGGCATTAATGAGACTCCTTCCCTCCCCTAGATGACCTTATGCATTTCAGTCACAGGGGCGATGTCTGAGACTGACCTTGGTTTACCAGTATTCTAAATCTCATTTCAAGAAACACAATCTCACTGAGACCAAATACATTTTTGTTTTACCTTTGCATTTCTACCACCTTTACCAGTCCTATAATTTTCTCCCCCAGTTTCCCCCCCCAGCCTGATGTGTGAAGTTAAAATCCTTTCCTTTTGTCCAGAGAATGTGGCACGTGAGTTCTAGATGATTTGGTTCTAAAACACTACATGATCCATATTCTCCTCAAGAAAGAGAATGCAAAATAGAGTAATTCCTTATTTTTGTAATTATTTGTGTCTTATAAGATGCAGAGAAAATATACTTCGTATTTTGACATTATTAGTTTCACCATTTTCCTATAAAGATGGCATCGTTGTCTACCCAATTCAAGTTTTTCCTTCATGCAACAAATATGAGTCCATTAAAATACAGAAGAGCACAGCAGGTAGACCTTTTGTATGCCAGGCATGGTTTCACACCCTTGAGCCCTGGGCTCACTCCCCATCTGTCCTCAGTCCCTATCAATCCCATTTCAGAGCCCAGTTCCTACACTGTCCATCCCCCCTGCCCTGGCTTTTTTACACAAGATCTCTTCATAGTGCATATCTCACCGCCTCTCAATTATTTCCTTACGCACCCCTCTTTTCCTCTTGACTGTGAGTTCACTGGTGGCACCAAGTACAAGTTTTCCAGATCCCTACTGTCAGCCGAAGGCTGGTATCCAGTAGGTGCCTATGACATGCCTGTTGCTTAGAAAGATAATGGAGTTAGATGGGATGGACTCCTTTGTCCTTCTAACTCGAATAACCTAAGACTTTATTTCCAGTCCATGTCTGGGGGACAACAGTCCCTGAAGGTCCCATTGTTCCAACAGAAAATACAAAGATGTGAATGATAAGGTAGAGAAGAAAGGAAGGGAGCAACAGAGCCTGCCGTGTCACCGCTCCAGCCCTGCTGTCATTGTGAGGGCTGTTCTGCTTTTAAATAGCCAGTAACTGGTTACTGCAGAGTCTCATTTCTACACAGGGTCATCACGGAAGTTCTAGAAGTCAGGCACAAGCTAGGCTCCCTCCTTTTCCATGGATAGACGTATGAATGGGGTCCGTTTCTTGGCTTGGCAGAAATAATCAACAATGGGAAGGAGGCAAAACATCAGCTAGCCATTCAAGAAGACTCACGATTACACACGCACACGCACGCACACACACACACCCCATCTGAAGAAGACATTACTCCACAAGCATCCATAACACCGGTTGGTAATCATGTCTTAGAGCCACTGGGCATTTTTTAGAACCAGATATTTCTTAGCAAAATGGGAAAATCCATGGAAGCCCACCAGATTTCTTTCTCCTCTTTGTGTTCAGGACACAGGTGGTTCCAGATTCTTGGAGAAAAATGAGGTGGACGACCAGGCAGATGGATTGGTGAGTAGCTGAAGCCCCAGACAATGAGGACAACTGCACTATGACAAGCAAAAAGTATCTGTGCATAAGAAGATTGTGCAATATAATTGCATCACCCCAAAGCAAACACTACTTATTAAGATGATCTGAGACATTAGGGAACACAGCACTGCTTTAGAAGAAACTCTGCTGATTCTCTATAAATACATCTGGCAGAAGATCAATCACACACAAGACTCCATTCGGCTGGGCAGATTACTTAAAATTAGTGTTCAAACAATAGTGTGGCTAAAATCCATCCCCAAAACACACCCGCTGAGCTCCCCATAGAGTGCCATCATCAGAAGCGGATTACCCCTTGGCCTCTACCTCTTTCTTTTCATTTTGTGTCTTGCTACTGTGTAATTTGCATTTGGGGTTTCACGGTCTGCATAGTATTATGATTTTTAAATTCTTGGATGACTATATGAAAGTTAGGCAAACAACCACATGTCAATTTAACTAATATGGGATTTTGTATTATTTAAATCTGTCTGATTTAATTCAGAGGAGGCTTTATGTAAAGATTAAAAAACAAAACAAAACAAAAATTTTAAAAAAGCACCTTTAAATCCCAAGGTTAGGTTTGCTTAGCTGGAGTCAAATGAATGTCTAAAGGAAATCTGTGTTTTTCCAGTTATATATTGTAACCTCAACTGTCTTCTTTTCTCTGTTACTTTTTTTGGGCATTTTCTCTCTCTCTCTGGGTCACTTGTAAGTAGAAGCACTGGCAGTGGGTTTTAATTTTCTCATATCAACAAGGAGAGCATACAAGCACAGATATAACCAGAAAGAAATTTCCAGATGACTTACTAAGCAGGGCAGGAGAAAGCGTTGCATATTTTGGGTTCAGTTGCTGGCTTGGTTCTTGCATTGCAGAATGAGGAACTGACTTGAGTGTTTTGATCTCGTAAGCAAACGGCCTTTACACTTATGTAACCTAGTAAGACATCGAAAGTTACAAAGTGAAAATTACAGATAACCAATTCAATTTCAGTTCCAAAGGCAGTTTCTGACTTACCAGGACTCTGATGTTTAACTTAAGGTATGGAATCCAAATAGGGTGTTGAGAACACCTCCCTTTGATAAAAATCTGCAACTAATTTGAATCCCATCCCTCCACCACCGAGATAATAGTTTTCATATTCTAATAATTTTAATATGTAGCTTCTTCAGTTTCAAGACCACTGCGGATTCTTGAACCATGAAGTGATTAACACAACCTTTGGAAAACAGGGTGTTTATACAGGGGCACATCCCACAAACTTGAACTCACATTGCAGCTGTCTATTGGAAAATGTTCTTCAAAGAAAAACCATTCGTAAATGGAAACTCTAACACCCTGCTTTTCCACGAAGCATCTTCTACTTCCATGAGAAGTAGATATAAACAAAGAGCTGAACTCGGAATATGGAATCATACCTGTCAGCTAGGACTTGGGGCTTCCGGTTTTTTGCTTTAATGGTACTTAATGCCTGGTTTGCAGTGTTCGTCTCCGGACTTATCAGAGGCACATATTTTTTATGTGTGTGAATAATTTTGTCTGTCGGCTCTCCAAATAGGAATGCTGCCTCCTCTTTGAATTCTGTTGGTTTATATTTACATGGTACCTTTCCTTAAAATTGAATCTGAGAAACAATGAAAAGTCCCTCCTGTGATAATGATTAGGTTGAAGGAGGTCTGCCTGGAGGAGGCACATACAAACACTGGGATTCCCTCAAGTTAATTGTTTACTTCCAGAGCATTTATTCATTTGAACTCTCCTTCTCCTATGCCTCGGACACACTACGTTCTGCGAGTCACACGAAGGGACAGCTACATCAAGGGAAGAGGGAGGATCCCACAATGCTCTTCTCCAGCATCCTCCCTCTGGTTGGACTCATTTGCGCTAAGTGGCAAATGGACTGAATCTCTCTCCTTCTCAAGGAACTGGGCTCTCCCTGGAATTCCACAAAGTTATTCCAAATGATCTCAAAGAGCATTTAATACAGGAAAAACTGCTTGTAATTTAAGACTAAGTGAAAAAGAGTGCATTATAAACACGTATGGATAGAATGGTTTCTGTGCCTTAAAAAAAAGAATACAAAAGGAGAACATCTAGCACACGTGTTGTTACATTTGCATAAGAAAGTAATAGAATGACATAGACAAAAGTATCCATGTTGGCATGTGCTGATTCAAGGATTAGGGTAAATTTTTTTTCTTCTGCATGGCATATTGCCTTTAAAATGTGAACTACTAAAAATGTATTACTTCTTTCAGTAATTTCACGTTTTCTTTTCTTTCCATATAACATACAGTGTTGTATTAGTTTCGGGTGTACAACATAATGACGCAACAATGTTATACATTACTTGGGGCTTGTCATGATATATGTACTTTTTTTTTCTATTTTATTATTTTATTTCTTTTCAGCGTAACAGTATTCATTGTTTTTGCACCACACCCATTAATCCCCTTTACCTATTTCTGTAAAAATGTATTACTTCTCAAGTATCTAATATATTTAAAAAAGAAGTCTTTCCTTGTATTTTTTTAATTAGCATGAGCACCTGAGGAAGCCTTACAGACCAAAGAATTTCTTCATTTTCTCTATTTCTGTTCTGTGTCTGGTTCAAGATGCCCCATTGTGCTCAGGGGGATGGACACAGTTGGGAGACCCACTGTCACCAGAGGCTCGGTAATGAGAAAATGAGTGACCGGCCTCCATGCTTCAGTTTTATGGATCCGTTTATAGACTTTCATTCTTCTTCTCATAGGGGCAAGGGTAACAAAGATGGACTTACACAGATATATAGGAAATACAGGAAATTTCTGGATCTAAATAAAATGCTTGCCCTCTGCTCACTGAGAAGTTGGCTGTTGTTTTCCCAACCTCAGGAGGGTGATTTCTCAGATTTACCACACTTCCCTCCTGAGAGAGACTCTGCTAGCCTTGCCCCTGAGAGGATGGAGTGACACAATACAGACGCTTACGTTTGCCTCGTGCCTGTTCTCACTGGTTTTCACCCTGCCTACCTCAAGCCTCAGTGGGCGGTTCTTACCATTAACAAAAGTCAGCACAGGGAGAAACTAAACTGTAAGCTGAAAAGAAAAATATAAATAGATATTTTTGTCTATTCCTCCCCTCCCCATAAATTCAGATAGATGAGTGTGAGTCCTGGTTATGAATGACCGGAATTTTCTGAGACTCAGTGCCTTTCTCCACAGGAAAATCCTTAAAGAGGACACTAATATTTGCTTTTTACAGGGATGGGTCCCCTAAAAGACAGTTCTTTTGTTGCTTATTTAAATCATACCATTTAAAGAGGTCTGAGATTGCAGAACCTGTTCTGAGAAGAGACTTGGAAGGCAGAATTGGAAAATCAACTACCTCCACCACAAGAGACGGAGCACGGGGACTGCACTGTGGTCCAGGCGTGGTTTTGCCTTTTTGAGGCCGGCTGAGTTCCATTCGTGACCTTGGGGAGTGCATACTTCCAAGCTATGCCCGGATTTTTGCCTTGCATCAGGACCTGGACAGCGTAGACACAAGCCAGAGGTAGAGAGACAGGTCAGACCCTGGAATTCCAGAAATCTCACCGAACATTTTAAAGATATTTTTATGACATTTCGACCTTAAAGTTGGCTCATGCCATTGTTCCCAAGTATGTTCTATGTTGAGTTCAAGTTTTCCCTAGATACTTTAAAATGTTTATTTCCCTACCATCAAAGCTGTGATTAGATGGACGTTAAATAGGGAAACATGACTTGACATTTGCCGTAAGCCCACAACCCTCAAGTCTATGTATATCCATTAATAAAGCAAAAAGAAATTTTTTTTACAATATATTGAAGGGAATAAGGTTATATTATGAGGTCTCAACCTTCCGATTAAACTTGAAAGCCTAGCATGGTACTAACACACAGTGGTGCCTCACAGATAATGTTGAAACTGAATCTCCATATATATATTTTTAAGATTTATCCTGGGCCACAATTTAGTCCTTCTCCTGGGTGCCAGTAGAAGCTGGGCACGAGGGAGGCACTCCAAAAACCACAGAATACCCCACTTAGAGTTGCCTATCATCAATTTTAAAATCCAGGCAGGTTTCCAGTAGGATTTTCAAAGAGAGTCTGTCCAAAGAGAATGTGTCTGTCGATTTTATACCAGGATGAACAGATAAGACCAAAAGAAACAGGATCAGAAGTAGGGGTTGGTAATATATATACTGGAATGGATTTAATCTTGAAAGAACTTAGGATACATAAAAAGATGCTCAACGTCCCTGATCATCAAGGAAATACAAATCAAAACTACAACAGCATATCACCTTACACCAGTCAGAATGACTCAAATCAACAACACAAGAAACAACAGGTGTTTGCGAGATTGCAGAGAAAGGGGAACCCTTATGCGCTGTTGGTGGGAATGCCAGCTGGTAGAACCACTCTGTAAAACAGATGGAGGCTCCTCAAAAAGTTAAAAATAGAGCTATGAGCCAGAAATTGCACTATTATTTACCCAAAGAATACACAAATATTAATTCAAAGGGATACATGCACCCTGATATTTATAGCAGCGGTATCTACAAGAGCCAAATTATGGAAACAGCCCAAGTGTCCATCAACAGATGAATGGATACAGATGGTGTATGCATATACAGTGGAGTGTTACTCTGCCATTAAAAAAAAAAAAAATGAAATCTTGCCATTTTCAGGGACATGGACTGAGCTAGAAAGTCTTGTGCTACATGAAATAAGTCCATCAGAGAAAGACAAATACCGTATGATTTCACTCACACGTGGAACTGAAGAAACAAATGAGCAAAGGGCAGAAAATGAGAGAGGGGGGCAAGCCAAGAAACAGGGTCTTAACTCCAGAGAAGACACTGAGGGTTACTAGAGGGGAGGTTGGGGGGGGGAATGAAACAGGGGATGGGACTGAGCATGGGGTGATGTATGGAAGTACGGAATCCCTATGCTGTACACCGGAAACTAATATTACACTGTATATGAACTAACTGGAATTTGAATAAAAAAAAAAAAAGGACAAGGACTTAGCATAAATCTGACCCTATAAGGTCTGGCCATTAACATAAGAGCCATCATTTACTGGCACGTCCCACATGTCAGGCCCTCTGCTGGACACTTTCTAGGCATTATCTCAAACCAGTCCTATAACAACTCTACAATGCAGTTGCTCATTTTTTCATTGAAAAAAAAAAAAAAACCAACAAGAAAGAACTTGTACAAGATCACACAGATGACTAGCCCAAAAAAGCTTAAAATAGAATGTAGGGCCACCAACAAAATTTGCCTGAATACCGCAGTCTATCACTTTGTTTCTGGTGCAGGCAAACATTGCTTGCCTCCCTTCCTGATGCACTCTTAAGTACTGCTTTTCTTTTTTTCCTTCTTGCAATCTCAAACATGAGTATAAGTAGCTGTTTCTCTCCTGGCCCATGAGTCTTGTGGAAAAATCTTTACCACTAGGACTGGCATTTGTGCCCCCAAAGCAAAGCAGATTTCCAGTTAAAAATAGGCAACCCTGGCTCTTTCCCTGTCTGGTGAGAGCCCACTTCAATCAGAGCTGGGTGGGTGGTAGCTGTTCATTATACCAACCACTGCCCAGGATGCTACAGAATGGTTTCCACTTCGCTGCTAGTTTCAGCATCTCCAGGAATATTATGCCTTACTCTGAAGATTCCGTGGTATGACCACCACTTGGTACCTCCCAGAAACAGCCAGCAGGCTGAGAGATGGGTCTTTGCTCCCCGCGCCCCCATCCAAAACAGAACACAACAGGTGACTACCATTAAGATGGACAAATGCCAAGTTCTCCTTAGTCACTCAGGGAAACCTCAAAATCAAGGTCCTAGAAGTCTTACTTTTGAAGATCTTTCTAGTCTTTTTCTTCTTTTTATAGTTATGTCATACAACTCAGAATTTTCAGATATGTCATACAATTTTATGGCTATGTCATACAACTCAGAAAAGTCAGAATTTTCATTCTGAAAAGAATCTTTTTTTAAAAGATTTTATTTATTTATTTGACAGAGAGACAGATCACAAGTTGGCAGAGAGGCAGGCAGAGAGAGAGGGAAGCAGGCTCCCCACTAGAGCAGAGAGCCCGATGCGGGACTCGATCCCAGAACCCTGGGATCATGACCCGAGCTGAAGGCAGAGGCCCTAACCCCCTGAGCCACCCAGGCGCCCCTCATTCTGAAAAGAATCTTGATGCTCATTGATATTTCAACTCAATTTCCTCTTTAATTAAAGTAGTATTCTCGTATGTAACACTTTGGGTGTCTGTTTTCTTTGTGCTGCATCCCTTTAAGCGGAATCTCTTTGTACAGAGATCTCAGAGGGAGAGAGTAAAAGAGGGCACCTCCCTACATGTGGCCATAAAATGCTGGGGCAGTGGAGTGGTAGTGAGGGGTTGTAGTGAGCTGTCAGGCTCACAAGGCAGGATGATTTTACAACACATGGAGCTGTATCACACACATGGGGAAGGGACGCATGTTCAAGTGTGAAGCATGATAGAGAAATCCACTAATTTATCTCTACTTCCTAAGACTACCCCATTGTCTGCCATTCAAACTAGACCCTGACTCTGACTACCACAAGGGCAAAGGGGTCCCCAATTGAAATGTGAGAAGAATTGAAAATAGTAGTTCTTGCCTTTTGAGTGTGAAAGACTGACGCTCTGATGATTTGAGAGGGGCTTAATACACTTTCAGTGGGCAGAAAAAATATATTCTACTTTCAGCTTTTAGACAGAATCTAGAACCTAAGCCATACATGGATTGTGGTTTCACTGTAAATGTGCACAGTAGCCAAACTGCGGAAGGAACTGAGATGCCCTTCACCAGACGAATGCATAAAGAAGATGTGGTCCATAGACACGATGGAATATTACGCAGACATCAGAAAGGATGGATACCCAACGTTTGCATCAACACGGTCAGGACTGGAGGAGATTTTGCTGAGTGAAGTAAGTCAAGGAGAGAAAGACAGTTATCATACCGTTTCACTTACATGTGAGACATAAAGAATAACATGGAGGACATTAGGAGAAGGAAGGGAAAAATGAAGGGGGGGAAATCAGAGGGGGAGATGAACCATGAGAGACTATGAACTGCGGGAAACAAACTGAGGGTTTTAGAGGGGGGGGGGCGGGGGGGATGGGTGAGCCTGGTTGTGGGTATTAAGGAGGGCACGTAGAGCATGGAGCACTGGGAGTTACACGCAAACAATGAATCATGGAACACTAGATCAAACACGAATGTACTGTACAGTGACTAACATAATAATTTTAAAAAACCATTTTAAAATGTTGCTGTGAACAGCAGGATGTGCTTAGGGAAAACAAATGACACATTAAAGTGTCATTACTATTAAACAAAGCCAATCAAGATATCAAGTGTCCCTCAGCCTCCAGTACAGCTAGCCATAGAGAATTATCAGTGCCGCCAACAAGAAGAGAATTTCCACGATCTCCCCCATGACCTCTTTCTGCATCTGCACCCATACACGTCAGCCCTCCTACTCTCACCCACGACGCCTGACCCCAGCCCCTGTTTAGTCTGAGTTCTCCACCAGGCTATTTTCCCTATAGTAAAAATCCCTCAGAGAGTTGTCTTGACTCTGTCTCCGTATCTGTTCTCCTCCCTCCATGATCCTTCTGGATCAGGCGTCGCCCCCAACACATCACTGAAACCGTGCTCTCAAGGGCGTCCTGCCATATCCAAGAGTTGATGGGCCTCGTCTTACCAGACACAATCGATCACTTCCTCCCTGGTTTGCCACCCGAAGCCCATTCTCTCAGTTCTTTTCCTGCCCCACAGAACTTCATTCCTCACATCTTTGGAGAATCCTCCTTATCTCCTATCATTATGAAAGAGACCTCCAACCTCTTGACCTCTCCTTTATCTCTACACACGCCTTCATGGGATTTCATCCAGTGCTTTGATTTTAGGTGCGGTTCACATGCTTCCATTCCCAAATCCATCACTCCACACCGTATTTTCCAAGAGAACATTCTGCAACGATGATAGCGGACCAGAATCCCGTTTTGCTCCATGTGGTAGCCACAAGCCACAAGCCACACGCGGTTTCTGAACATAGCACACGACTATGACTAAGTAAACCTTTGCATTTAATTTAAATCTAAACTTAAATAACCATGTGTGGATAGCGGCTGCCCTATTGGGCAGCAGAGCTGGAGATGAAACCCATCCTCTGAGGTCCATATTCACACATTCAGCCGCCTGTGAAGCATCTCTCCTTGAATGTTTAAAAGGCACATCAAGGGGCGCCTGGGAGGCTCAGTGGGTTAAGCCTCTGCCTTCAGCTCAGGTCATGATCCCAGGGTCCTAGGATCAAGCCCCACATTGGGCTCTCTGCTCAGCAGGGAGCCTGCTCCTCCCTCTCACTGCCTGCCTCTCTGTCTACTTGTGATCTCTGTCTGTCAAATAAATAAACAAAATCTTTAAAAAAATAAAATAAAATAAAAATAAAAGGCACATCAACA